GAATTAAAAGCAGGCGATGATGTGACCCATTTTGTGTGTGCTTTATGCAGATTACATCCGGAAAGAACCATTTATCTGACCTATGTTCTGTTACCACTTACACATGATGTGTTTGATAAAACAGCAAATTATATTTTCAGGATAGACCCTAATATTACCTAAATTATACCTTTCTGGAAAATAATCCTGACTAATTTTATGGACAGACTTTAATTTCTAGTTCAGAACAAATAGGAGAAGGACCAAGATAAGCATTTTATGCCCCTCATGTGGACATTTCTTCACCATGAGGTACTAGGTGCTTTATAGCATCTAGCTTCTTTTTAGGATGAAGTCCATTAGTCAGACCATTACTAAGGGCTACAGTGAGACATAAATGGAAAAAAAAATCAGCACTCTAACCATTTATATATTAAATACCACTGAAATGGATAAACAGAACAAAGGGGAAATGTTAACAAAGAACTTGCCTTCTTCGCTATTGCACTTCAAGACATAGGTCTGTGCACAGTACATAAAGATATTATTAAATACATTTATCTCGCCCAGCCTGAATCATCCCCCTATTTTCCTTCTGACAGGAGTAAGCTCTCTCAGTAGCACAAAACAAACATAAAAACAGCACTGTAGCTATGCTCTGTGTTTACCAACGTAGGTCTTTCCTTGTGTCTACTTCTTCTTTCTCAGTGGGGATTCTTAAAAGAGACTTCTTAGAGACACAGTCCTGATCTCAGTCCCTCTCAGACGCACATCTGGGGGCAATGTGCCCATGAAACTCTGCTGGACAACTACCTACAGCCTTCAAGGGCATCTTCATAGTTTTAACACACTATGGCAGATTTCAGCTAACAGAGCAGTCTCTAAGGATAAATTTCTCTGATAAGCTTTCTTATCTCCTCAAAAAAAAGATGAGAATAATTTATTCATGAGATTCATATTCATAGAAAACTTATCATTTAAGAACTTCAGATTCTTAAGAAATCTGGGTTGTATCACCAGCTCCGTCATGCGTTTTCTGTGAATTTGTGGTCAAATCACTTAGAAAAGGATTCATCTCATCTCCTTCCACTCTTTCAGAGGTTAGTCAGGCAGCAAAGCAACTTGCCTTTGGCTCTGTCTTTAGTCACTTCAGAGACACACCTGTGCCTCCAGGGTGTGATTCATCCCATCCTAGCGCGCAAGCAGAACATTAAGTTGAACACTCTTAATTTTGCTTTCTTTGCTAGCTGCAGTCCAGAGACAGTTTCTGCATTGATTTTTTTACACACTTTATTTCATTGACTTAGTCAATGGAGAGAGTTAGGCACCCCTAGAGGTAAGTACATCTCACGTACCAGACATCTGGCTCAGGAGGGCTGAATCACGCTCAGGAGATACCTTTCTCTCTCAGTATTGACTGCAGAAGTTGTCCTAAAGTGTTGCTTCAATCTGGCAATTTGCACACTGTTAGTGCCGATGAAATTAATCTCCTATTCACTTCCTCACTAAAGGAGGATCTCATGTTCTACCACCCCATTCACAGCAGAAAAGGTTGCTTTCACTCACCTTCTCCTTCATTGTTTCGGTCCACGAAATAGAATCATAGAATCCCAGGTTGGAAGGAACCACAAGGATCATCTGGTCCAACCTCTCAAGGTAAAGGTATAGTTTAAATGAGAGGTGTCAGCACCCTGTCAAGTTGACTCTTAAAACTGACCAAAGCAGGGGAATTTATCACTTCCCCTGGGAGATTATTCTCATTGATCTCATGGTAAAAAAATATTTCCAGAAAAAAATTTCTCTGGAGTTCAATCAGAATCTCCCCAGAAGCAACTCGTGTCCATTACCCCTCGTCTTTTCCATGTGACTCGACTTTTCCGTGTGAAAAGGGAGTCTTCATCTTCTTGGTAGCCACCCTTCATGCACTGGTACATGGTAACAAGGTCCCCCCTAAGCCTTCTCTTCCCAAGGGTGAACAGGCCCAGTTTTCTCAGCCTTTCTTCATATGGCAGGTCTTTCAGTCCTCTGATTATCCTCGTGCCCCTCCTCTGGAGCCTTTCCAACCTGTCCGCATCTTTTTTCTATAGCAGGGACCAAAATTTGACACAGTACTCAAGGTGTGGTCTGACCAGCACTGAGTAGAGAGGGATAATGAAAGAAATGCACCTCCAGGATAAAATGAGTCTGGAGATTTCAGTTATGTGTTTTCTCCTGTGCTGTCTCACACAATACTGATATCTTTTCTTTCTTCATATGATGCCCTCATTAACCATATTGATTGCCTACTAACCACAGAGTGTTTTGAAGGGATCTCTGGTGGCTTTGAGTTTCATTTGTTTTGGTGGTGTTTTGGGGGAAAAAAAAAAAGACAAAACAAAAGACAGCAATTTTAGTTCAGAGCCTCAGACTCACCAAAAAGGGACATAAACCAAGTTCTGAGAGTTTTGAGCCACTGTTGCTCTGTTTCGTTTTCACAGACCCATCAGCTGTACTGCTACACACCCACCCAACCCTCTACTCTAGTCTGTTTGTCTTTGTGTCATTACATTTTTCTCCATTCTTCATGTCAGGCAAATTTTTGAATATAGAGTAGAAATTTGAGTTAGTACTTGTACTGACTCTCTGTAGGTTTACTGTACCAGATTGAGACAGTATTTAGTATCTGTGTCCATCTCTCTGTTTAAAGTCTTTTTTCCAAAACCCATCACGGCAGTATCTGAGCTTATGATATACGTTCACCCTCAAAACATTCCCAGGAAGTAGAGCAGTGTCTTTTCCCATTTTATACATATAGCATCATCAAGACGTAGTGAAACTAAGATCCCATTTAGTCTGACAAAGCACAGACAGATGTTTTCAGAATAAAAGATATTTTTTTTTCATATTTCAAGTCAACAATTCCCCTTCTTACTGTGTGGGTAGAAAAATCTGAGATGATGCATTTGTTCAATAGTCTAATGAATCCAAAAAACCTCCATTTAGCAGCTGCAGCAGCAGATTTAATTCCTTTTGTGTCCTGCTGCATTGGTAGGTAACACAATTGAGCCTCAGTGAGTTTTCAAGGGCATGAATGAGAATTGATGCCTTAATTCACATGGGTAGTTTCAGATACAGACTATGTATTATTTCAAAATGTGCACTGTAGTACGGGGGTGTCTTCTATGGAATGACCCAGTTTATATTAAAAGAGTAAATAGAAAATTTAAAAATAAATATATATTCTTGCAACAAGCTTATTACATTGTACATTTTCTTTGCTTCTTTAAAAAAAAGTAATTTAAATACCTCTTTCATTTACTTTTATTTTTTTACAACTGCAACTCTGCTAATAGGAAGTGTTTTATACAGGTAATTTGTACTCGGCTTGAGGAGTACAACAGCCGGCAGGTTTTATGTGATGCCGCAAGTGAGGGACCTATACTGCGAAATCCTGGGAATAATGATAAATCAAGGACCCCAAGGCTCCCATCTTCGGCTGAAGTTGAATTTTGCCTGTCACTGACACACTATGAATCTGGATCCATGGATAAAATGGCCAATTACAGTTTCCGAAACACTTTAGAAGGTAACATGTTTCATTGTATTATGCCATTTCCATCTGTAAATTGATTTCTCTGGGGTTAGAGTTTTTAAACTCTGGGCAGTTTGAGCTGATTTCATGAAGTGCCACTCAAAATACATTTTCTCCTTGAATAGTAACAAACAGAAAGAAACACATTAAAGGCATTTGATAAGAAACTAGAAACTGTAGACTAGATCAGACCCTAAATTCATTTATCAGGAGATGTTGCGTCCTGCTATAATCAGTAGCACTGCATAAAAGAACATAATCTAATAATTTGCTTAAACATGATTGTAACCACATCCATGTGGGTTACAGGTTTGCCCTGAAACTCACCATCTTCCAGAGGCCAGACTGGACACCAGGGGAGAAAGAGGATGCTGCCCATTGGCATGTGATGACTACATGTCTATTGCAAACTTGACAGCAAGCTTCTCCTCAAACTCTCAGGATGAGGGATTAAGTTATGCCCTAAAAGTGATCCTTAGTATATTTTCCAAAAGAATTCATTTATTTATCTTAATTATTTAACTTTCCAACCTGTTCTGAATGCTCCTAATTTGATAGTCAACAAGGCTTCTTTGCTAAAAGGAATAGTTATTTTTAATTATCTGTCTACCCAATCTCTTATGAATCTTGCTAAATTACTAATAAACAAGGATAACAAATAATACATTAATCAATAAATGTTGCTGCAGTATAATTTATCATCTGAATCAAATGGGATGTGCTTTTATTGATTTCTCAGAGATTGTCAATATGAAGGAACTGTGCAAGGGCCTAAAGGAATATAAGAATTGGTGTGAGGATAAGAAGCGCAGTATTACTCTTAATGCAGTGTGGAATGGCATAAAACTTTCTCTGGAAAAGCAAAGTGAATCAGTTTAGAATCAAAGAAAGATTAAGGTTGGAAAACATCTGTAAAATCATAGAGGCCAACCACCAACCCAACCCCACCATGCCCACTAAACCATGTCCCCAAGTGCCACATCCACATTTTTCTTGAACACCTCCAGGGATGGGGACTCCATCACCCACCCTGGGCAGCCCCTTCCAGTGCTTGACAAAAAAAAGTCAAAGAGAGTCAAGAGTTAGAGTTATAGACAAAGAGAATCAAAGAGAGTCAAAGAGAGTTAGGAGTTGAGAGTTAGAGTTTCTGTTCTAAAAACAGTCAAAAAAAGTGGAATTTATCTGCTGAAGCCCACAGAGAATCCAGAAAGTAATCAACTCAAGCTCTGGACATAGCTGTGCTTTCTACCTTTGAAAACAGGAAACATAGGAAGTATGGGAAACAAAAAGTTGACATAAATGAGTAGAGGTTGGCTCGCATTTTTCTTCATAGAGTATAAGAATAGATGCAAAGGGTGGAATAGGAGAGTTGAGAAAAGGGAACTGAAGTAAACAAGTAATGAAATAATAATAATAACGTCATGTGTCTACTGTTGGAGGCAAAAACAAAGGCACTGTCTGTGGAAGTTATGCAGTCACATATGGGTTTTCTGAAACCTTTCCTTTCTTATAAATGGCCTGGTTAGGTTTTTGTTGTGTACAGATGCCAAACTTAAATTGCCAGCTTGTATTTGTTGTACCAATTCCTTCTGCATGATGGCATTCTTACAAACCTGTTAACACTCCCTGTTTCCTAACATTTACTTCTTTTTCTAAGCAAAAAGCTCTTCAATACTTCTTCGCTTGTTTGCACTAGTTTGTGCCAATACACCTAAGGTCAAATTCTAATCTCTCTTAGAGTCAAAGTAAATCCAAAGTAAGTCCATTGACTTTACTGGAGTTACACTAGATTTACAAAAAATTACCAGAACCAAGGCAATGATCATAATTAACTAGCTCCTGATTTACACCAATGGGAGATTTGCTCCTCAGTCTAGTTCTGTAATGGAAGATTTCTTAGATATAATTTATAATGATTGATAGATAATATAGATAATATTGATCTCTTAGAAGAACTTATCACATAGAAGAAACACTTCTCAGCAAAACTGTATACTCTTCCATTTTTCAGTGCACTAGAACAAAGACCCCATCTTTTTACCCAGCAAAGGGTAATTGTTTTGAACAGATGCCAACAATGCGGGCTGAATCTGTGTTTGACTAAGAGAAAATTCTGCTAGAGAGACAAATTATGTCACTGAAGAGTAGCCACAACAGCCATGAGCAGCAAAGGTCAATACTGCTCAATAAAACAACACCCCTCTGTAGCTGAGCACACAGGTTGTCCTCTCTGGGACAGGACAGTTTCTGTTTTGACTGGAGAATGGCAGGTTAAAAGCAGTTTGCACGTTGCCCCTTGAAGTGGAAGCAATTATTTGAAATAGGATTTGTTGAATTGTGGCCCAAAATGGGAAACACAGTTGACTTCATCAGATGCTTCATAGATACAAGAAGAGAACAGAAAATAAGCCTAGCTTATAAGCAGCAGGTGAGATAAGAAATCGATTAACTGACTGCAAATGAAATAGTTGGGCTTCTGCTTTGTGCAGTTCAGTTTTGGTGTGACACCTTGAATGCTACCTCCTGAGTGATGACTGGAAAACATAGAGTTTTCTTTATGAGTGAATTCCACATATGAAATTATTTTATTCACTTCAATTCCAAATGAAAATCAGTGCTTTCTAAGTTTTGCACAAAGTGACAAAAGAATATTTTTTAAAAAAATCTAAAACTCCGTATCATTTTCATTATTCATGAATTAAGTCAAGACACATGGTATCAAGTCAAGCCATGTCATAACATTCCACTGTCTGTCACAATTCTGTATCATTACTACTGTTTTTTCATGAAATAATGGAATAAAACAGCAAACATTTCAAAATGTATTTTCATTTTAATAGGATTTTTTTTTCTGAAATGAGTATTTTCATCTGGAAAATTTTGCTCAATAGTTTCACTGTGATCCGTATAGGTGATGAAAAAATGGTTTCTCAAAATGAATTTTGCCAACAGAAAGTTTCTAATTAATAATGTTTTAGCCTACAGCCAACATCCCTCACAAAGCTCAAACTCTCAACATCTGGGTAAATTTATGCCACACATTGAGAAAGTTCTGCAAAGTTTCAGAGGTCCATTACTAGAGAACTAGAAAGATTATTCAGCCCAGACCACAGTGATGCTTGACAAGAGTCATTTTAAGAAAAAAAAATAGATAGTGACATGATCTAAATTAGATAATAAAAACTTTCATTTATTACAGCCTTCTAGGCCAAATTCTGCCGATCTTGCAGTTATCTCACTCTAGAGACATTACAATGATAATAATTCTTGAGAAAATATGCAAGATTTAACACTGAATAATTTCCTGTGAGATTGCCAATGGCAGAAAAACTCCACTAACATAAGCTAGAAGATCACAAACTTCAAAGACAAGCAAGAATATGGCCTTAAAATTCTTATATCTATACCTTCCTATTTTAAGGTAAATGCATCTGACTTAACTTCTCTAAATTGAGAAATCCTTATTAAAGAAAAAATCATCTTCAGGGAAAGCGGGACTAAATATATCAGCCAGTTGAACTCATAGAATCATAAAATCATTTAAGTTGGAAAAAAACCTTAAGATCATCGAGTCCAACTGTAAACCTAACACTGACAAGTCCATCACAAACCATTTTCCTAAGCACCAAGGCTACACAGTTTTTAGATTCCTCCAGAGATGCTGACTCCACCATTGCCCTGGGCAGCTTGTTCCAATGCTTGTCAACCATTTTGGTGAAGAAATATTTCCTGATATCCAATCTAAACCTCCGCTGGTGCAGCTTGAGGCCATTTCCTCTAGTCCTGTCACTTGTTATTTGGGAGAAGAGACTGACACTTTCCTACCTCCTTTCAGGGAGCCGTAGAGGGCGTTAAGGTCTCCCCTCAGACTCCTCTTCTCCAGTCTGAACTCTCCCAGTTACCTCAGCCGCTCCCCATCATTCATGTACTCCAGACCCCTCCCCAGCTCTGTTGCCCTTCTCTGGCCATGTTCCAGCCCCTCAATGTCCTTCTGGGAGTGAGGGGCCCAAAACTGACCTCAGGATTTGAGGGGTGGCCTCACCAGTACCCAGCACAGGGGAAGGATCCCTGCCCTGTTCCTGCTGGTCTCACCATTGCTGATACAAGCCAGGATGGCGTTGGCCTTCTTGGCCACCTGGGCACTCTGCTGGTTCGTGTTCAGTCTCTGCCAACCAACACCCCCAGGTCCTTCTCCTCCAGGTCCTTTCCAGCCACTCCTCCCAATGCCTGTAGCATCCATGGTGTTGTGACCCAAGTGCAGGACCCGGCACCTGGCCTTGTTGAACTTCATACAATTGGCCTCAGCCCATTGATTCAGCCTATCCAGGTCTCTCTGCAGAGCCTTCCTATCCTTGAGTAGATCAACACTCCCATCCAACTTGGTGTCATCTGAAACCTTACTCAGTGCACTCAATCCCCTCAACATGCAACATACAAAGCAGTATTTTACCTTTAAAGTCTCTGCTGTCCTGACCACTGGCTTAGAAAGTAATACAAAAATAAAATTTATCTTGTAAGAAAAACAATTTTGCCATTAAAAAGAGCACCTGCAAAACTGTTATGAATAGCTCAGTGATTTTAGGGAAGCCACAGATGTTAAGCAGCACACCAAGATAATCGGAGGAGATAGGACTGTTGGAATGGCTCCTCCATTCCCATAGCACTGAATGCTGCTAATACTCTCCAAGCTCTGTATACAGTCTGCTAAGCTTACTTACAGTGCTTCAGTCAGTGGCAAATGAGCAACTGAGGAAAAAGCTACCTGCTTTCAATACATAAACCTTTGCATTTGACTGATTGCACATTAACTTCTGTGGTCTCCATTATTAGATTGTAATACTCACAGTTAATAAATTAAATACTCTATTAAAAGACACGGACTGGACCCAGCTGCAAGTTCATTGAGAATCACCTATATATTATACCAAAAACTGTTAGGCAGCCTTAATTTTGAGTGGCATCTTTAGCTTCTCCTATAATAAACTTTAGGCTAAAACCCCATCAGATTTAATTTGGCCAGTAAAGTTACTTCAGATCCACTGAATCACTGTTGCTGATTTACAGTGCTATTGGAAGGAACAAGATCGGGTTTATTACCTCTTAAAAATGTGATCATTCTCTTACTGAAATCACTGGTAAAACTTCCATTCACTTCAGTGATGTATGACCTAAAGGCTGTTTCTAACGCACCATAATTAAAGAAGGGTTTAAAAGGATGTCTGTCAGCTCCAGCTTCCTGTATTGGCAGATGATTTAACAGCTCACTGCCACGGGAGACACTGAAGATATAGTCTCCATCCACCAGTCAGTCACTCTCCCTCCTTTTTTGGTACCAATACTGATTGTCATCATATCCTTACATGAAATTCTCTGTGTCAGTATCCTGGAAAACACCTGAGATCCCAAACTCCAGGGCAGTTTTCTGAGAAAAGAATAAGACCCAGGCTAATAAAATAAAGTGACACCATATTGTAGTTTTATTCCTATTAACTTTACAATTTGTATGGTTTTTCATAACAAGAAATCAGATATTAGAAGCTCTAATGTGCATGGCTAACAATGATGTTCCCTTTGACACTGACCGAATGCACCTCAGTTATCTGGGAGCTGGAGCGTGGAGTTGCTAAACCTGTCCCTGTTACAGAGCTTTTGATTATTAAGATAAATTACTCATATGCACATGTTCCATGAAAAGTTGTCCAGAGCCAAAATGAGTATTCTGTAGACATATTTTTAATGAATTATTAGATCAAGTGATTTTTGCAATGATTTGCAATGCATTAAGAAATTTTAACAAGTATCCCAAGTCTGATATAAAATACCTCACCTTCTGCCTAGATTCTGCGTAAAGTTTCCCTTGAACATACTTACAATGCAGCTAAATGTAAGTGGAAGAGTTGATTCAGAATGACATAGAGGTAGATTATTTTCAGTCACTATTCACTGAAATTTCCTGCTATTACTACGTCACCTAATCCAAATGATCACGCACTGTGGCTATCAGTAAAGCAAGCCAAAAGTATTGCCATTGGTTCTGGCCAAACTCTCAATGCACATCATTCTTCATAGGTAATATTTTATTCTGCTGTTTCCCCTGATTGACAGCCAGGTAACATAGCATTCAACATCAGACTAAGTTCTGTGGGCAAGATTTTCCCTTTGAGAACTTCTGCCCATTGCTCTTCATGTCACCACACAACATTTTTAATAATCCTGGTCCACATCTGATGTGCTTTAAACCTGCAGTTGTCTGTAGACATCACTATATTCCTTTCTCTCACCTAAATCCAGACTCACTCCACCTTGAAGGCTTATAACTTTCATCATAAGCCAACTCTCCCTCCACCAACTGTCCTGATTATGTTTTCTACTCTGACTTCCCTTGAATTTCTCAAAGTCTTTGTCATACTGTTACAATCATAAAGATGGATGGTCATTATGGTATATTGGTTTCTGGTTGCCACAGCTATGATTTGATCCTTATTCTAATTAGCAGTGGTTTTATGCCAGATGTTTTTCCCTTGTTTGAAGGGGTTAACAGACAAGGCAAAGCCTGATGAGGGGATTCAGAATGGCAAAACGATGCAATCATTTTACACAGAAGATTGGAGTCCCAGTGGAGTCTGAACTAGATCTCCAACTTTACAGAGTGTGATTTCTACACATAAGGCATCTCCAGCCACATCTCAGTTAATACTTTGTGTAATTCAAAGAACAAAGCAGTTGGTACTGAGGACATGAATTCTGTCTCACACCTGAGGGCTTCGACAAGGAAAGGGTTCTTTTGCACTAGCTCTAGTTCAGTCTCATGAACTGCACACCCACTGATAATAGGCATGTTTTAGATTTCCTCCAAAATGAACCCAGCTTGCAAAGTCAGAAATTACCGTGTGATGCAAATTACAGCATGAAACAGAAGGACTGTTGGGAGATTCGCTTCAAAAGCATAAAACTGATCCTCATTCAAATGCTAGCTCTTGGTCCAATTAAGTAAATAAAGCAAATATCCAAAGTGCATGAAGCATTTCCAAAGAGAAAATCATAGAATAGAATCATTTGATTGGCAAAGACCTTTAAGATCATCAAGTCCAACCATAGCCTGCCCACTACTAACTCACCCCTAAGTACCTCATCTCCCCATTTTTTAAATCCCTCCAGGGATGGTGACTCCACCACTGCCCAGGGCAGCCCATTCCAGTGCCTGATAACCCTTTCAGAGGAGAAACTTAATATCTTTCTTTTCCCTGCCTTGCAGACCTGATAAGCTGCAACGATATTGGGAAAACACTGAGGATCAGCACAACAAGCATATCATCTACAGACATTTTTATTTGATTATTAAATTATAAAGATGTTTTTATATTTCTGCACCATGTTTTCTCATCCTGTGGCTTACAGAAATTGTGAGAACAAGACATCTTCAAGAACCAGATCAAAGAGAGAGAAGAGAGAGGTTTTTGTAGCATGGTTACATAGTTAGGTTAAGAAATAGATTGGGAGGACAGCACATGTTTCTGCTTTGATTCTCCTGGAAAATCCCAGAGAAGGGTCAGATGGTTGAGTTGACTTTTATTAGGAGTCCTTATGTGTAGAGGGGAAGCTTGGCTCTCATGATGCTGAGAAGGGCCACCAACATCAGAGCTGAGTTATAGACAGGCTATCAAAATAAATACTAATGGAGAGGCTCATCTTCCAGTATTTCCTATTTGGGAGTTGGTTTGTGCGACCCCTTCTCAAAGCCTGTATTTTAAGTGCCCTTGAAAATAACACCAATCCACAGACCTTCACCCTGCAAGTCTGTCTGTGGAGGATTATTGGTTATCTACCAAATCCTTCTATAAAGATTATAGCTTGTATTGTGTTGGCCCCTAACAATAAAAGAATGTGTTCTATAGAGACAAAAAATATTAAATGACTGATTATATGATGAGATATAATAGCCTGTTTTATCTTAGGAAGCTGTAAGTATAGAGATCAAAAATGAAAATGAAGTGACTAAATTTTACCAATGTAAATGAATGTACACGCAAAAATGACTGTAGGGATTACGTTGCCTTTTAACAGCCAGACACAATGGACAAAGAAATTTAAAAATATAAAGCAATTAAGCAGTACATTTGCTGACATGCTGCACTAGCTGCATGGCAGGAGTTTTAATTTAGCTTATTCTCATTTCATCTTTGCTATGCCTTTGAAATACATTAGCACTTCTTTACGTGTTTTCCTAAGCCCTTGTCTAAAAAGCTGAATGTAAATGAAGTGAGTGTAGGTACTTTGATCTTCAGTCTTACTGGAAAAAGAATTATACACATTGTCATATCAGTATATGTTTTCCTGTTGAATATATAGGCTTTGCTGATCCACAGACGGCAATAGCAAACACATCTCAAAGTGGTTTGCATAATGCACTTCACATCTACATGAATGGCTCCATGTCCCAAGTACAAGGCTCTGCAAATGATCCTGTCTTTTTACTCCACCACGCATTTGTTGACAGGTGAGTTTAATTCTTCTTAGTAAATCTAATTTATTTGGTGCTTTTTATGGCTTTTCACTTAGATTTCAAACTGTAAACATTTTACATGCCTTTACATTCACAACATTTTTAGACATGTACAATTGAGCTCTGCTATTGTTTGAGAGCAAGTTTCTTTCCTAATCCATTTGTATGTTCACTGGATTAAATACAAGTTGAAAAGTTGACAAATGCATTCAGCTTTTATTACCAAGGTAAAAATAGTTCTGCAGTGATGTCATAGTGATTATTATATATGGATGTGTGTGGCAGGAAGTTTGGACCAAAAGTGTGTGACTCATTTTAACACAACTATAATCAGTTGGACAATTCCTTTACATTCTAAATGTCAGTGCTGTTTTGATTTCTATTCCATAAGGAAAACCCTAGTGTGCTATTCATAAAGAAGAAAAAAAATCCCTATTTCAGCGTGACAAACAAAATTGTGACTGTCTTTTGCTGAAAGAGAAGAGCACAGCTGTGCAGAATGAAAGGAAAGCAAACAGAAGGATATTGTGTTTATTAATAAGAAAGGGTAAGGGAGCACAGTTTTGCAATAAGACAGGGGAATTTCCACATTAAGGACAGCTTTCCAAGATTTAATGGTGACTTTAAAAATTTACGTGTCACTGTAGCATATGTTAATGGATACAATTCACTGTGGACTGCATTACATCAAACTGGGATGACTAAAGAGCTATAAACCAGAAAGTCAGCAAAGCAAAGGACTGCAAAAGCCACACAAACAACACTTGTAATGGAGCAGTCCGTATTTTCTTACCAATCTTCCTCTACTTTCCCACCATGCACTGACTGTGATGTAGCTATTACAATTCTTAGAAAAAAGGGGCATTAACCTGTACAAACTTTTGGGACTTTTAAATAAATTTGTATGCTCAGAAACCTACTGACTGAGACCCTGCCTGCATGCAACAAGGAGTTTATTTAGATGAAAACCATAATTTCATTTATTTGGGACACTGAGGTGTGCAACACAGAAGGGATGCAGATTATATCTTGCAGACATCATCTTGCAGTGAAGTTCTCCTGTTTCAGGGAGTTCACACCAAAACTCTTGTACAAAACTTTGTCACATTTAACCAAAAAGCTAAACGGTGCAAAAGACAAATTCAAAGTTGGAATTTTTCCTCCTTAGTTTATATATTTAATGAGTCTAACTGTTATATTCTTCATACTTTACCCATTCAGAAACAGGACACCAAGTCTAATCAGGTCACCCAGGCATCAGTGGAATGGTTCCTTCAAAGGGTGACCCTCTTGTCGTCTGCTCCTACTACTGCAGGGTATAATTAGCCCTCTGGAGGTGTCAGTTTTGTAATTCTTCTCTGTGAAAAGCTTTTCTTCAGAACATTTTAAAAGTTTAATTTTGTAGCTTAGCTGTGACTCAGCATATCCACCCATTGACTGCTTGACAGGATTGGATGCACAAGGGTTTCAGGTGTGGTTGCAGCTTTCAAGTTTGGCACCTGGAAATTAACTTTCCAACATCTAGGTTATTAAAAAAAATGGATCAAATGAATATTCAAAGAAGAACACAGAAGGGAAGGCATTATGCTCTGCAATATCAAAAGAATTATTTTCCTTATATATTCACACTTATATAAGACTTATGCATCTCATAGCTCCCACTCATTGCAGGGCTTAAGTAGCACCTTGGTCTTCATGCTGACCTCTCTCACAGAGGAATTTCAGTAATTTATAGTCATTGCAAGCTCCTGGAAATACTTTTCGTAACTGCTGTGTGTACAGGATTCAGTACACATGGATGTAAAAAAATTATAATAATGCTGCCTTTTGTATAAGTGACAGAAATGCATTAGCATGATTAGGGTTACTAAGCAGCCTTATCCATGACAGATTAATCATGCTTTTAGTTATAATTAATAAGTAAGTGACTGATAGGTACATACAGTACATTTGAAAAAAAACCCCTCTTCCTCTCCTACTTTGACTTTGAAACTGAGGGACTGCAAAGAAGTTCTTTTCTGAGAGGCAGGTGAGAATATAAAGAGTATCAGAAACAGCAGAAACAGTCCCTACAGCAGCAGAAGCACCTTTTTGGGTCCTTATCACCTTTTCTCATTTAGGCAGAACACTTTCGAGCTGATTGCTACCACTACACTGAGTCAATGGGTTTTAACTACCTTTTTAACTACATCTGCTGCCAAGGACAGCATCTCTTCCAGGCCTTGGTGAGGACATGGAGAGTTGTGAGATATGGGGTTGTTGGCAAAGGATGTAAAAAGACTTGACACCAGTGATCACAGTCTGGGTTGGGGACAACTCAGAATCACAGAATCATTAAGGTTGGAAGAGACCTCTAAGATCATCCATTTCAACTGTCAACCCAACCCCCACCATGGTCACTAAACCATGTCCTGAACTCTGTGTCAAGAAATCAAGAATGGTCCAGCACTTTGGGCATCCATATAGGACCCAGCAAAGGGATTTCTCCCTCCACTGCCAATCCCTTGGGTGAAGCTGAGTGTGTGGTTTGCTCTCCCAAACTCACATCTCCTGGGGATGTGTTTGCTTCCTGCTATTCAAGGTTGAGAGGTGCTGAAAGACTTTTGAGGAGCTGTTGATCTGAGCTTCAGTGAACCCATCTGTAAAGTGGGTGATATTAGATGCCTACGCAACAGGGACGCTGTCAGGGTAAATGCATTAACGGCTGTGAAATGCTCAGTTACGACCATAATAGGAGTGATAGAAGTAAGGCAATAGATCACTGGAACTGATTTTACATGGAAACATATGGTACAGAGGAGGATAAACAAGTGTATACGGAGTCTGCTGACAGGTGTGAGCCAAATGTTAGGAGCTGCTTTCCAAACTGAGCAACAGTCAGAATCCCATCTGCTACCCTGCAGCCTGATGCACAAAATGAGGGAAGGATGGATGGAGCAGAAGTGTGGTTGAGGTCTCACAGGTGAAAAGCAAAGCATTTGCTTACAAATACTCCCCTTTGGGTTTTTTTAGGTCATTCACTTTCAGCAGTGCAGAAGTATGAAGGTACCCAGGCAATAGCTTTCTTCACAATGATAAAGCAGGCTCCTTGACTTCTTATTTGCTAGACAGAAGACTTGGGGATCAAATCTCAGTGCTTGGTAAAAGCAGGTGACCACTCTGCAAATTATTAATTGTTAATATGAATGGTTAAAAAAAAAAAAAAAAGAAAAAAAAGAAAAAAGATGCAACAAAATATACACTCAGCAAAAATGAGAGCTTTTTTAGCTCTCTGAAGCATTTCTCTTAATTGCAAATCTCTTTGCTATTCAGATATGCTCTACAGTCAGCACAAGTGAATGACAAGGGAGGAGTCAGCCCACTCAAGCTGGAAGGAGCAGCTGCATGAGCAGCAAAAACAAAGGCCCAGGGTCCCACTGCAGTTCACTGGGGTCTTCTCTTTGCTCTGAAAATAAATTCCTCTGTGTCAACCCTTTCGGACCTGCCATACCTATAGCCATGTAGTACCTTCAGCTGTACTCCCTGCACATCCATCCTCTGAATGTTTCTTCCATCTTTTTTCTATTTTTTTCTGTACCTCTCCCCAATTTGACTTCGACATCCATGCATCCACCCCAACAGTTGTCCTTCCAAATTTCAAGAAAAACTAAATAGTAATGGGGAAAGTAAGTTGCCATTAAAACTCTCCATGCTACTTTATATCTGTACAGCAGCTTATGCAATAGGGCCCCCATTCTCATCTCATTTCTAAGTTCTGCAGCAATGGACAGGGTTTATTACAATAGTAGGGGTTACTTTCAAAGGCCCTGATTTTAGAACAAGCAATTTAGGACTTATTATACAAAATAGGGCGTAGACTTTCAGTGTCTTGTACCTCTAAAGCCTAGTCTTGTCAGACTATTTGTACAGCTAGACCTAGACTGTAATTTCTAGTGGTGTCACCACTACAGGACCATTTTCTCCAGCTTTCATGAGTAACCTCAGAGTTCAGAATACTGCTGCAATCATTGCATAAGCCCACTGCTCTGACCAGGTGTTCCTGTTTATACCCTTTGCTCTATGTCACATCAGATGAACTAACGGTCTCTATTTTCAAGGCCCTTCATCCCAAAATCATCCCTCATTCACGTCTAAGGAACTCACCCCTCCAGTAAGTTTGTGATATCAATCTCTATCTTACATCTGTTTGGCTTTCAGATGGGTCCCTCCATAGTTCTTCTTGTTGAGATTGGTTTATCCTATGCATCAACAGATTCAATCACCATTCTTCGACATGACCCTTGCAGAAAAGCTCGGACATTAGGCTGAAACCTTTGCTTAGTGGGTGGACCATTGTGGTCCCACTGCATGGTTGCCTCGTTCTCCTCCCATCTGTTTGTATCTATCTGTTGTGCCTAAATGATAAGCTCTATCATTAAGGGACTGTAATTGCTCTGGTCTGTGCAGCACTTGGCATATCCTTATCCTCTGGCCATGGCTTTCAGGTATCAATGTGAGCAACAGGAGATATCAATTGCTTAACTTACAATTATGTGAAATGACAATGACAAGAGACAGCTGAACATCTCTGCACTAATCTTGTTGGTTCAGTTACTCTTTTGCTTGCTATCACACAGTTTTTTGCATCAAAATGACAAAACTTTCAGGGTAGAGGTGTCTTTGTGTGTGTGCATGTGCACTCTGCTAAAATAATAATCCAAGTCAAGCATTAGGTCATGCAGGGAAGGGATACACTCATTTACAGCCACTTAAACACATGCACGCTTCCAAGCAGGTGCAGGAGAAACTCTCCTACGCATCGGCTTCAGAGCCCAATGAAAATGCCACAAATTCTGCCTAATCAAGGGAAATGTCTCCATGCTCTTCAGCAACTTCAGCTGCTGTAGACTCCTCTGCTGCAGGCTAAAATAACCCCTTCTGCTTCAGCGGCGAGCTGGAGCTGGCAGCTTTAGGAAATGCCAAAATGTGGCTTATCTGAGGATCTAACATTAAAA